TTCCTCACAGTTTTTCCAACGTAGAATTCACTACAGTTGTTGCAGTTGATTTGGTATACCATATTGTTCATCTTGGTTCTGTCTTGGTTGTCGTTCGATCTGGAGATAAGTTTCCTCAAAGTCGCATTCGGTTTGTGGGCCACAACGATTCCTTTTTGGGCCAACAATCTGGTTGTGAGTTCAGATATATTCTGGATGTAAGGTAGAACTACCCGTCTGGTCGGTTGTTCTCGTTGTTGTTGTTGCTGAGATGTTTTTTTGAAGCTTCTCTTGATAAAATTCCTTGGATATCCATTGTTCTGGAACACTGAACAGATAGTTTTCTTTCTTCTTCCGTAATTCTGTGGTGCTGCAGTGTGTCTCCGTTCTCCCCTGCAGTGTGTCTCCGCTCTCCTGAGCAGGGTTTGGACACGGAAGGGCTGCGACAGGTGATCGGCTGTGCAACAGAGTTCAATCGAAGAACGTGTCCAGCATCAAAATTCGCGGTGGTTTGCTGTAGTATTATGCACGCCAAAATATTGTCTACAAAAACTAATTTGGAAAAGTTTGCGAACTGTCGGTGCAACTCGTCTTTCAGGATGGGGTTCACGTGGTCTTTCTAGGCATGGCTAAGGACATTGAATAATGTGGCTGCTAGTATGTGTCAGTAGCGTTCTTGCCAGTTTCAATTCAGATTGTCTGAACGAGTGTCTGGAGTTGTATGTCTCAAAATGATTGTAGCATACCAGCACTAGGTCCATTTCAAATCCTCTATTTTCCAACGATAAGGATTTCAATCAAACCACGATTGCACGGCAGCGAAACGTCAGTACTGAATCTTGATGCTGTGATGTCGACAATGACGGGGATGACGATGGTAATAAGCCTCTCATTCAAAAGTCTAACCAGCAAGTAAACGGAAGTTAAATAAATTAAATTAAATTAATCGTTCAGCTTTAGCACCCTTCCGTGTCTAGCTACCATGCCACTCGAAGGAAGTACGAGGGCTGGGATACTGTCAGGTTGCCCAATCCTAGACAGAGAAGTCAAGAGGAAGAGGTCGGGTTCAAACCACGGACCTTCTGGTCAGTGAATTCGCGCTCTAACCACTTGAGCCATCTCGGAAGTTAGGCTTGCTTGGAGAGGGTGGAGTCAGTAACAGATCTGCGGCAGAGGACTGTTCAGCTTGAATGCGGGGGTAATAAGGCATAGACGTATGCGCCTGATGCCACCGCACAAACTAAATTTTCGTACTAACCCTTTAGCTTGACAACCGGTCCAGTTAGAAAAAGTCGACCCTAAAGGCCGCACATCCTGATCGCCCAAAGGCTAGCCGCCAACAATTTGCCTAACAGGTTCGAAAAACAAACAAAGCTTGAGGTCAATTCAGCTCCAGACGCATCTGCTGTGTGTGGCAGTATCAGAAATGAGATATCTCTGCCTTATTTCCTGTGCCCTCAGATTGGGCCAGCTCCCTAGAGTTCAGCGGGCGAGAATATTGAGTCATCGGGTCCGGGCGAAGTCGCAAAAGAAAACCTTACCACCCGCTGCCTCACTAATCATACTTTGAATTCAGAGGCTGGGGGAAGAGTCCCCGAACACAACCCTACATACTCTGCTGTCTTGTAGGTCAGACTTTCCAATCAAAAGTCTAACTAAGCCCTCTTTTTCGGCCTGGGCAACCAGGAAATAACATTTGCCAGCAAAGGTCTGTGTAAACTAATGTCTCTTCCTAACCACTCTCTACCACACAAGCAAACGTCGGTGGGTCGTTTGATGGTTAATTAACTGGCTTACGTGCCTTATACAACCCGTCGCCCATTAACAATACACAAAATAACGCTTGGCCAGATCAACGGGATCCTTTCTATACGGGAGCTTGGTCCATACCCTATGCTAATTTTGCAAACAGACCATGCTTCTTCCTCAGCGCTGATGTATGTTGATTCTGAAACAGGCACACAGGGCTCAAACATAGTCATGACTCTTGAAGCGACCACGACGAGCTCAACTGCTTCACGGTTTACTCTCAGTATGTGTGCTGATTCATAGTCGGTGAAACGTGGAACATACGGCGAGGAGGTGATCTCAGCCCGGGCTGAAGGCGTTTTGCTGCAATGGGTTCCAATCCTTGTGCAGTCTGGTTATCCAGCTCAATCAAGCGCAATACCAAACTACACGAAAAAAACGTGGCTTTTTTAGTGTTAACCTTTGTCCAAAAGGACTGCAGTTCTAACTCCGAGGATCCTTCCCATCGAGAGTTATCCGGGTGATTCGTCAAACAAGAATCACTGACTTGTCATCTTTGCAGATGATATGAATGGCCAAATCGACCACTTGAAATCACACCTGGGTGGTCGATGAAAAGCAGGTCCTCCAGCTGTGCACTGACCATCAACTGTTTCTGGTCAGCATGGATGTTCAACGCATACGCATACATGACGGCTGGTCAGCATGGATGTTCAACGCATACGCTCGCACCACATGACGGTCACCAACCAGAGAAATCAGGGACCCAACTGCATCACATGGCTCTCAGCCACAGCTGAAGTGCCACAATTCAAGTCAGTCGCTCCTTCTGAGACATAAAACGTGTTTCCGATCACGCTGTGATGCAAGTATACCTGAAACTTCGCTTTCATTCAGATCATCACCATTGATCAAGAAGTATGTCAACTCATGACTCAGTGTTTGGACAGCAAATCTACTGACTGGAAGCTCCGGTTCGAACCTGAGCTGTCTCTGCCTCTAGACTTCCGCTGTCTGGGCTTGGGCAACCTGGCGATATCCCAGCCTTCGTGCTCCCTTCAGGTGGCATGGCAGTTGGGCACCGAAAGGGTGCTACAGCTAAACGATGTCGACCGATCTTAGTCGGAGAGCTAACACAGTTCAGTAGCATCGATCTGAGCTGGCTTAAATACTCCGTGCAACTAACAGACACAGTACTGGTAACGAGCACGTGGATGAAGCGTGGAAATACATGAGAGCTAGTCTAGGGGTGTCCGATGCTGGTCGACTCCTCAGGCACGACCAAATGATTACTGGGTAGCATCGAGATCTTGGTAATGAATGGTTCTAAGAAACTTATACCCATAGGCAACGGACACAAGGGTGTCTGCAAATCCCGCGAAAAACAAATAATGAACAGTCCAAGATCGGGAGCTCTGGTGGACCATGAAACCGAGAGAAATGGAGAAGGCCTCTGCCAGCCGAAACAGCCCTGTCCTATACTGTCGTATTCTATCGACTGGTCAATGGGAAACAACTAGCAGTGAAACGAGAGGCAAAAGGGGGTTCAGCACTTCATTTGCAATATCGCCAACTGAAAAGATGGACTAAACACCCCCAGTTGTCCTTCTTTAACACAGCTCCTAAAGGCCCAGCACGCGGGCTCATCAGGGGAGACAAAGCACGAGATGTCTCTCAATACGTGAGGAAAGACATGGATCAGACGTGTAAACAGTCGTTTTCAAAGGAGGGGAACCTCTGGTTATCCCAACTGATAGAGCTCATTGGTGTTACACAGAGTGGAGAAAGAAAAAGAAATCAACGATCAGCCCTCTGTTCAAAAAGGGCATACGAACATTGTATGAGCCATGGCGACAGTAGCCTCGTGGCATTTGGTCTTCCTTTCAAAGGTTAACTGAACACAGACAGGTCCGTGAAGACAGAAAACATTCGGCTGTAACACACTTCGTTCCTGGCTGTCGGGCCATCTGAATGCAGTACGAGAGCTGAGATATTGCTAGGTTACGTAAACATGGATAGTGGCAATCGAGATTCCTAGACCATTGAGCCACCTCGAGCTCCATGCGTGGGCTAATCAAAGAATTCATCTGAACACAGGCCGGAGTAGATTCTTACCATGCATTACTGCACAAGGCGGAGAACCGAGTTGGGCTCTTTGATCAATTACCTATTCTTCGACAGATCCTGGAACAGAAACCAACAATGATCTTGACTTGAAAGGTGTCTTTGGCCCTATTGGGTGAAGAAAACTCTTGGAACCGATTGAGTAGTCATCGCTTTCGGAACAGTTCGGTAACAATCGGTAGACGTATTACCGGGCAACACTTCACTTTTGGGCCAAAGGCTCGTCAGGCCAAGTCGCGAAATTCGCTGAGATTTAAGGCAGGAGAAACAATCAGCTAAATCTCTGTTAAGTGTCGGCCGACGGATTGTGTGTTAGGGTGAGTGGCTAAGTATTACGGCGATGAGGAAACCTACATGGATTTCGGTTCGGTTCACGTGATGATCCTCCTTCAACGTTGTTTGCACTTTCCGTTCGTCTGTGTGGATGAACTAGTACTACGATGGTTGTGTGAGGAGGGATTCTGTGAACTTTGGTCGGGTTTGGATTTCCACCCCATCCCCTTTTATTCTAATGATTCTACGTGCACTGATAGAAACATAGTCACGTGTCAACTCGGTTTATCTAAGACTGCTTTCCATACGCTCGTCAGTTCCACACCATCGATTCTGTTCACGCTGTGAAGTTTGGTAATTTCCACGACTGCTACTTCGTGGTATAGGTGGCACTGCCCACGCCTTTTAGGTAATGCACTCTTTGCCTGGTCGAAATCCTGTTTGTGTCTGAAGTGCTGGAGATGGGCGTCCCATTATATGGGAAGTCCTTAACCGTGCTAGGACAGGTGAGACGCACTACTGTGTTTCAGTCTGTTCGAGCACCTTTTTGGACACGTGTAAGGCCACCGAATGGCTCGTGTTTACCCATATATTGCTTGATCCGACAGACTTGAGTGATTGCGCGCGACCAGGCAATTCCCTAGAATCCGTTCCGCTGAACTTTTCTGCAACCTTCGGTCGCACTGATGACGGCTCGTTCATTTCAAATTTTAATATGGGAACCAATAGGGTTTTAAGTTGTCTCACCGCAAGTAGCCTCTTTTCCGAAGCCAAGATTTTGCCAAAATTTTGGTATATTTCGCCGATTGTCCCGTGCAAGCGAGTTGATAACATCATACAAACCAACTAGCAAAGAGCAGGTTTCGTCAACCTACCTGAAAGTGTGAGGTCATGCAGGTTTGTTTTCGGTTGAGCATTTTCGGAAACATTCGCGTCCCCAATAAAAGGGAAAAGAGAGCGCAAAACTGCATACTGCTCTTCATACCGAGTGTTCCACGCAGCCAAGACTTGTGACAAGCTCGAATCCCTCCCGGAAGCCAAGTCGTGGCATATTACTTCCATTTTTGCGGCTTTTAGAGCAGTAAATTCAGTTTCCGCGATTTAAATCACAGAAGCATGGGCAGTAAATGCACCAGATGTTGTCCGTCAGCGGGGACCTGCAACAAAACCCGAACACTCAAGAGTCCCAGCGGAGAACTCAATAGAATCTTGACCGCTGATTGGTCAAGCGCCAAAAGGCGCACCTGATACAGAACAGTGTCATGGATACATAGATTCACAGATTCAAGGATTGAGATACAAGGATCGAGACCTTCAACTTTATTCTTGTCGTTCAGAAGCTTCCGTTCACCTGAAATGCACAAGGGGAAAGAAGGGTGCAGCAGCATCCTATCACCTCTCAGTGCTGGACAGGAAGAAAGCCTGCGCAAGGTCTTGCGTGAAAATGCATTCACGCCTTAGAAGCGGGGTGAGCCATCCCCCAAACAACCCCGTTCTAAGCACCAACTACCCGACGTGGGGAGAACTGCTGTTTATTAAAATAGCCGCCCAAATCCAGCCGTGCCCCTCCACGCATTATTTGGGTAAAAAGTGAAAAACTGTCGGCCAAACCTTTCCCATGCACAAATAAGCAATTGGGCACAACCTAGATGACAATAGTCTAAGGAAAAGATTTCAAAAATCCCCGGAGGCGTTTAATGGTCAACGGGTTTGGGGTGTGGCGTTTTGTACCTTTATTTTACTTCCATTATAACACTACGTATTTCATCAATCGCATAATCGTTTTTTGTTTGAACACGAAAAACTACAAAATGCGCACTTGCACAATTTCACAGAATACAAGCGTGGTCACGTGCTTCGACTCTCTCTTCTGATTTCGCTCGCGCTTGCAGCGGTCATTCGCGAGTCTCATGTACTAACTCTGGTACCAAAACATTTCAGACATCTTCGGAATCTATTATATGTGGGAACTGTTCAGAAGAAGACCTCTGGACCAACATAATTGGATTATTGTTTATTCGCTGACCTGGGCCAACGACGAACTATTTTAAAGAGAACAATTGTTAGTGAGTCTGTTCCATCTGATCTCTTTATTTTTGTATACCCAAACTAGCGTAATTATTTTTATTTCTTTGCCACACGCTCCTGGTAAACTAACTTATTTGGTAGCCAGACACTACAGGGGCCATCAAATAGTTGGACGGTTTGGGGGTCCAGTTGTTGCATCCTGAGTAGACAGTTTGACACTTATGTTCAGAAACTGGTCTGATGTGGGCCCCATCCAGCATCTGGAGGCTGTTTTAAGGAATACTGAGGAGGGTCCTCTGAATCACACGAAGAACAACCAGTACCTTTTGAGCAGGCTGACCTTGGTAGAGTAAGATTGATACGCTTTAAGCTCTTTTGGTATGTGGCTTCATAACTTCTTCTGATCCACTCTAGCCATGCAAAACAAAGGCGTTTTCTGTGTCCTCATCGAACGACCTATAAATGCACTTTTCTTCCTTCGAAAGAAAATATCAGTGCGATTATCACGCTTTTGCCGCTCTGATGTTCATTAGGATAGCACCGGCCAAGATTTCGGGTCATCCACAAAAGCTGGACGTGGACGTATAGGCGCTTCCTGGTGGCATCCAGGTAGAAAGAGGTCAGGTCCTGAGACGGAGCCTTGGTGAATTCCAATGGGAACCGGTGCGAAGAAATGGAGGCTAGTCTCTTTTCCTCCCGGAATACCCTACTGGAAAATAATACTTAATCCAGCGCGCAATTCCTCCTTGGATCTCATATTCTCGAAGTTTGGCTCATTGGGTAACATGAAATGTGTGCAAAGTCGACAAATATGGCATCTGGTACTAGTGGATCATCTTTGGCTTGTGTTGAACTGTCAATGAATGCGGGTATGTTGGCCATGCAAAAAGGATTTGTGAGAAATTTGCGTTGCGCCTCAGGTACCTGGTTGTTGTTAGTGGGGACATTTAAAATTCCCCGCTCCAGAATGCGGACAACCTGATGAAGCCAGTTGGTCTGTAGTTGCCCGGCAATAAACATTCACAACCACTTACTTCATCATCGAGCAAATGGCAAATCGTCGGGTAGAGATGTTTCGCTGGGCTGTATTTTTCTCGTCAGGATTCTTGAAAGAACTTAGCCTGGCACCTACGCGCCGAAAGGGTCTAACTGCTGCGATAGCACACGAACATCTCCCCTCGTAGGGATCAGTTGGCTTAGCGTTGCTCATATTTCTGCCTTGCCAAGTTTGGATGTAATGAAGTCTTTTGGGGCAGAAAATATGCCTTCATAGTGCCTCTGTGAGATTCAGAAACCACCATTTGGATGTCATGGGTACTCCGCTTCTTCCCCTCAAAGCGGAGGCTGCCATTGGTGTCTCATGTGCTCACCTACTTGTTTTTGTGGGCAAGACTTGGTAACGTAGCCTTTTAAGCATATTCGGCGCCGGTTGGTCTTCAGAGTTTGGTGCTGTTAACTTTTCAAGAATAGTTCAGACTAACTCCGAAGGGGTTTGGACCGTTTTTGGTACCATGACTGAGCATCGGCTTCTTTGACAAGGGCACTCACCAGCCTCGTGAACTGTCTGGACGATGCACCTGTGTGTGCTCCGTCAACAAAGCCGGTTACAACTCAAGCTATTTAAAATATATGTACATTCCTGAGAAATTTGCCCGGCAGATTTTTCGCTTCAGCGTTTGGATTTCTGGTTTTCCGGCCCACTTGCGGACGGCAGAAGTCAGCACACAGTGGGCGATATGACCCAAAGTAGCCTCATTTATCATTTGTCAACGAGCCGTGAGTCGTCGATAGATAACCAACTCCAGCAGGGATAGTATTTGGCCTGTCCGGGATCCAGCAGGTTCGTTGATAAGCTGAGTCCAAATACTCCGTTGGGCGATTTTCTGAACGCCGATGTAAAATGTTCACCAAGTCAAACGATGTTAGACACCACCAAGAGGCCTTGGGAAATTTGCTCAAGTGTCTATATGAAAGACAGGTCGTCTCCGTGTGTATCTAAGTGGCAGTGTTGGATGGTGAAAAGTTGGAAAGAGTCAACCAAAGTGTGAACCCACGGAGCATCACATAATGGTGCGAGAACGTGTCCAAGGGGACAGCCGGTGTAAATAGTGACGAGTCTCAACCTGCCCTCATCATTTTCAGTCAGCCCGGTAAATCATGTAACGGTCAGTCAGGTGTAGAATGAGTCGCGTCTCTATAAGTGCGGCTGTGGGGGGCGATCAAGAAGAGCCAACTGCTGCATATCGGGAAGCTTGTTTTCAAGGCTGAGGCAACTTCGGGACAAGGGCTTCAACAACATTTCTGCTGCAGCTACCGGTGGATGGGCCCGTATTATCGGATCCAATCAGGACTGATCTTAGTATGAAGTCCGAAAGATTAACATCATTACATGCGGTGCTAAGAGGAGTGCATTAGGGTGGTACTTTAACCTCATGACATACAAACAAATAATAAATTTTTTTCAGACCTTGTGCACAGATTTGTGTTCATAAGTAATGCAAAATGGTATAGGAATATCACTGGAGTACCCCAGAGAACCGTCCGTTTCTGGTCAAGCGCTAGGATCAGATGAGTGACCGATCCTGTAATAGGGATGAAAATGAAAATTCTCCTTTGGTCACTGGTTTAGAGAAAGATTGTTGACTTGCCAGGCAAGACGGATTCGGGATCTCGTTGCAGCATGGAGCCACTAAAGATGAAATCGTCCATGAAGCATTAAGGAATTGGCCTACGTAAACAGCCACGCAGGTGTATGTGATTGATTGGTTTGAAAGAGATGGGACGCGTAGTTTATTCATGAACGCGGGCGGTGGCACTCAAGATGAACTAGGCCGGGGTGGGAAAAACTCTCAGGTTGGATCAAATCACTGGAGGAATATTGATTTCGTGTAGTTTCGCCCGGCTATTTCCAAAATACTCCTATCATGGTTGAGCCATGGAGGCTACATCGGCTAAACTGAGAGGTTTTTTGGAGATATAATGGCAAATCGACAGGTAGTCTACGTGACGTAGGCTCAAATGTTCTTGTCCTAGTCAACATCAGAGCAACTTTAGATCATGATTGTGACGACACGGCAAAGATACCGTCTGATGAGTTGTTACTCGATAGGTGCGATGGTGTGGGCAGTGAGCAGAATGTGGCTGGAGCAGGACTATTCATAGCAGCCGATAATCGTGTCACTCCAGACCATACTTCAAGAAGCAGTGAATTGCAGGTCGCAAGGGGTCAGAAAGAAGACGGACGGAGGCGTGGTAGCAAAAATTGCAATAAACGTTAATCTGTGACGTGTCCTTAGGGAATAGTGGCTGCAAGGCGCCAAGAAAAAACTGCCCTGCATACCCACATTTTGAAATACCGGTTGCTAACGTGTTGGCTCACCAGCGAGATGTTGGAAAAAAATTACCCGAGCCTCTTCAACCATGTGCATCCATTAAAGAGGATCACAAGAAATACGCGCGAGATTTCTCGGAAAATGCGATCCATTGTTCACTCGTTCTTAGCGATGGTTGATTCAGTGGCTTGAGTGGGTCATATCAGTTGGAGTGGACTGAGCGCGAATAAAAACAGATGAATGCATTGAGCTTTCCAATGGCCGTAGGCTGATTTGTTCTACACTGTTTTATCAAGAATGGATAAATGGCGTATCTGACTGCGGTTTTCAAGGTCGTGCTGGTTCTTGGCCTTACACACGGAATGCACGGTCGTCTGTTTGAAGGGGGAAAGACGATCATGGGCAGATGATTGGGGTTAGAATAGAAATGAATTTGAGGGTGCATGGGTGTATGCAAAGAACTCACCAATCCTGGAGTGAAAATCATCAGATCGGGGTGAACAACCTTGGTCGTGGAGTGACAACAGATTTCCACAGATTGCGCAAGGAGTGATGCGGTTCCATAAACGCCGTAGCACAGAGCCTCTTATTAGCGAAATACACTCATTTGCGCACAAATTTAACGGAGAATTACTTGGAATTCATTTGAATCTCTCGTTCATGATGTTTTAAGCAAATGAATATGCTGAATCATGCTGCTCCTGCTTTCAGTTCGTATGATATTTGAGATATCGCGATACGCTCACTAGATGTACGGCATTGTTATAAGGGTCTCCATAAACCCCCGACTGCCCG